CTTTGTAGGACTTTTTAACAAGATTTCTCGATCTAGGCCGGTTGATATTTCACAGTTTAAAAAATAAAATCGGGGTTTCAGCTGAAACACGAGTCGCCACTAAAAATAACGTTTATATTCATAAGGAGTAATGTCGGATAAAAATATCCATTAAAAAATTACAGTGTTCACATGTTGGATACGAAAATGAAGCTAGCTGATATAGATTCGAAAAAGTCCCAAAGAGAGATATGTACTTCCTGAAGTAGGCAATTCAGTATTGTTTTTCATGACCTCCTCCCTTAGCCAAATTGGTAACTGTATCCTCCGGCTAAAGTTATTTTCATGATGGAGAAACGGGATAAAATTTCGATTCTTGTCGGGAGGCATTTTTTTACTTTTAGTTCTAGGCCGGTTGATATTAATTTTACGATTTCAGAAAATAAAAAGTATACAGAGGTGGTAATTCCAACAGGTGCATGCGATAAAATACGTTTATATTAACCAGAAATAAGAGTTAACAGAGATGTTAACAAGAACTACAAACATTTTATTTCGGCAAATGTTTTAGAAATTTTGATATGATTTAGTCAAATAAAAATTTAATTTAATTTAGACTTGATTAAAAACAAATAAAATTATTATTTTATTCAATTTAGATATTTTATTGTTAAATGCCACATGTTTAAAAAAACAAACAAAAAAAATTGTTACTTTTTAAGTGGGGGGGTTAAAATTCTAATGGAAATTGCCTTCATGAATATCCCCGTGCATTCTGCAACACATTTATAAGTGTTATTCTGAAGGGTAACGTCTGACAGATTACCCTAAATCTGGTTGTAATTTAAAAAAATGTTATTGAATTTAAGAAACAGCAGAGAAAATCAAATTTGCAATAGCAATAATTTGCCAAATATTGTTTATGATAAAAAAAATTAATTTATTTGGTCGAATTAGTTATAAAAGCGAGGCAAAACAAATGAAAATGTTGTGCTTCCAAAAGAGAATGATATAACTTACAAATAGCGCTTGCTTTCAAAGTGCTATCCTTAGGTAACACATTGAACGTTGTTTTTGTTTTTTTTTCAAAAATGTTTTTGTTGTTTCTAGTAGTGTATGTGTGTGTACACACACACACACACACACACACACACACATATATATATATATATATATATAGATAGATAGATAGATAGATAGATAGATAGATAGCCAGGTAAAATGAGAACAAATTCAATTGTCGGTGCGCAGCTGAATATATAGGTCGACCGTGTCTAAGGTTGGAAACTTGGTTGACTCAACACGTACTTGTATTTATTAGATTTAATCATCATAATTGCAATTGTGTTCTGTGATCTACGCATGAATCTGTGATTCACAGACAACACCTTTTGGAGAAATTTTGAAATCAAATTTTCTATCAACTCATTCTCTATTTTGCATAAGACTCTTTCCAAACACCATTTGCAAGTGTTGGAAGCTGTATGTATTAAATTACAACAACCTTCTTTATGGAAGGAGAATTTTCTTCAGTCCCTTTATTTATTTGAGGACCGTGAGTATTAATTTCTTTCATAATTTACACTCCTGTTGGATTATTTACAATTTTTTGAATTTACGTATATTTTAATCGTTAATTTACGTGTTATAGACGTACTCTAAATCTTCCTCCATATTACTTATCTATTCATACCAATTTTGCTACAATAATTTTGCCAACGTTGGTCCCTGAAAAAGTGTTAGCCTTGGTTCAAGAAAAAAAAAAGAACACTAAACAGTGTTTGTTTAAATCAATTTATGTATTCTGTGGCATTAAATTGTTATTTAAATAATGCTAACTAGTTTTATGCTCTTTCAGCTTCTTACATCAAATCTTGTAGTTGATTGAAAAAAAACCAGATCAAAAATACAAAACTCCATTGTTAAATTAATATGCAACCGTTAAGTAAATTGCATCCATATAAGATGTTAACAATACTAATAAATGTAAGATGTTAATAATAACAACAAAAGACAAGTACATTCATATAAGATGTTAATAATACTAACCGAACATCAATACAAAGCAATACTAAACCAAAATGAACCATACAAATAGAATAGCAATATATATATATATATATATATATATATATATATATATATACATACATACATATATGTGTGTGTGTGAGTGAGAGTGAGAAAGAGAGAGAGAATGTGTGCGAGTGTTTTAATGAGTGTGTCTCAGAGTGTGTGTATATGTATATATATGTATATAAAGAGTTAATGGATTTTCATTTTTAATCTGACACTTTTATTACGTCAATCGTTATTATTAGTGAATTTCGTATTTGAAATAAACGTTCCAAAATAGAAATGGGTCGTCTATTTCAATTATTAGTATCTACCAATAATAACGTTTGAAATAATATATATATATATATATATATATGTGTGTGTGTGTGTGTTATAAAAAATTAGATTAATATGTTCTTTGATTTTTCGTTTAATTTTTAATTAAATCTAGCAAAACAATTTTAAGTTAAACAATTTTTAATACACTTGACACTGATTCGCTGTGCAAGTTTTATATTTTTACTTAAAGTAGAAATTGTTGATACATATTCAAAAAAATACCAATACTTCCCAAATGTATTTAAGCGATATTTTACCAGAAGTTTTAAAATGGAGATTTTCTTGCAGGAAAATGAAATTCTCAGTCAGTTTTAAAAAAAAAAAAAAGAACATTTTTTAATGGAATCGAAAATAGCAGAATTTCAAGCTAATCTCATTTTTTATTTAAATTTTGCTTTTTATTAACATAATTTTAAAACAGACACATTTTAGAATTACATCAAACAATTAGAAACTTTTCTTAACGATATTTAGAAATAAAAGCCTTTTTAAAGCAATGTTACAATATAAAATAATTTCAAAGTTTATGGTCGAGACGAATGCGGAACAAGGAAGAATTCGCAAGAATTAAAGTATAATAAGATCTTTAACTAATTTGTTGGTTTGGCCAGCAGAATAGACACAATTCAGTTTGAAAACAAAGCCATTTTACGTATTTCTATCATATCTCATTCAATTCTTTCGTTAATCATATAAATAAATCGATTTTATTGACACTGTTTAAACTATTTTTCAGTTGATTCCAAAGCCATCCTCATGATTTCGAGCAGAAAGCCAGAACATTGTGAAGCAAATGATTATCACTATCCCCTGGAACGTCCATTTTCTTATAGGAAAGGCTGCTACCGATTCAACTGTGACTGCCATGCTGATGGATCATGGGAATGTCCATCTGAACGTTCAGAATATATCTGTCCAAGACAATCTGACAGGAACATATACAAAGGTGTGTTGCAACTTTTTCTTAATCTTTTAATACGTTCATTTTTCATTATTCTATTTTAATAAATTTCATGCTAGACTCTAAAAGTATTGTAGCCCAGACTAGATACATATTCGTTCTAAGAGTGCACTTCCTTCCAGGCAAGATAAAAAATAATCCTTCGGCTAGATCGTTAGCCACAAAATAAAACTATGAGAATTTGTAGCAGTAAGCAGATTTTATTCTCGGGTTTTAACGCACTGCTATGGACCAGTGAAGGGAAGATGAAGCGTAGCCGAAGGGGAGGCAAACAATGTAACAGGCGACTTCCCTTTCACGTCATTTTCCGTGGTCCCACTTCGTCACTCTGCTTTTTCACGGGTAGTGGCCACTGTCTTATAGAGAACATTTTTCTTTGTCTTGTCATCTTGTCAAAACGTAATTTATCTTCATTCAATAACTCTCTTTGTCCGAGCCGCCTGTCATGTACTTCACCCAGCTGATAAACATCGGGAGACAATAAATGTCTGAATCCATCTTTGTAATAGGTTAGCTGTTTTACATCTAATCAGATATCAGCTGATATCGTTACAATTTTACATTCAATTATTTTGGAGCTGAGATACGTTAAAGCTTTGGGGGCTAACGCAAAGTATTCGGACGTTTTCTTTAAATAAGAAGGAAACACCACTTTTTAAAGGCTTTACCCAAGATGTGTTTCGTAGGCTAAGACATAAAGTATTAACAGTTTTTTTTTAACAATGTGACCATCACATTTTAAAAGATATATTTTACAAACATGAATAATCCAAAGCAGAATTCCGATTTGAAAATAAGACAAGATATTATCAAAGGTTACTTTTTAAAATTATATATAGCAATTGGAGATTTTCCTTGTCGATTTGTAGAAATGAAAACTTTTTACAAACAACTTTGTAATATAATAAATATTATGATAAAAAGTGGAAATGACTTCCATAAATGAAATGTGCGAGAGAAGAAACTGCTAGCATGTAACCGCAAGTTCTATTCTAACAGTTTCTTCTCAAGCACATCTTATTTGTGGAACTCTTTTCCAGGTACTTGCATTCTAGTCAAATTGGATCTTCAAAAATGTAAATACGGTGACAGACGTCATCTTTTTCTCCTTGAATCCTATTTTTTATTGCTTTCTCTCCTTAAATAATACTTTTTCTTAGATTCTTTCACACTCTGTAAACCTTGTGTTCTAGTGGTTTAGGGTGAAATGATTAAAATATGTATAATAATATTTTGATCTTGAAGAAGTTTAATCAAATTCAGAAGATCATGTCTTTTTCTATAGAAACGCATTGTAAATGATTTTACTATAGAAATACTTATTTAAATTATTTATATTCTGACTAATATCTATATCTTTGTTGTTGTCACAACGTTTCGATCTTTATACTCTTCGGCTTTCTTCAAGTATGCTCAAGGAAATGTGAAGTGAACCCTTTATTTAAAGTATACGTTGTACTCCTTCCGGTGTCCATGTCCAAGGATATTTCATCTCGCTCTTTTTAATACTATTCAGTCATGGCTAGTCCTATTTCCACTGAGCCTATGTCAGTATTTTACCCAGGCCAGAGACTGAAGTTATAATTGCTATGTCATCCACGTGTAAATGATTTTACGATAGAATTTAGTAATATCGTCCTCCAATTAAAACAAACACAAGGTTTACGGCTGTATCACATTGAAACACTGATTCCCGTACGATCACCAAGGTTAAGCAACATAGAACCTGGCCAGTACCTAGATGGGTGACCGCTTGTGAATACCAAGTGCTTTAAGCTTGAATGTGCAGTTGGTGTAACGGAATTGTTAATCGAAGAGTCGAGTTCTAATTCCAGTTGTGTTCTTTATATTCCCAATATGCAAATACCCTTGGAAAAAATGTAAATTCACCACTTATCCCTCAGCTATGGGTTAATTAGTAAGACTTGTATCACTAAATCATTGTTATCTCTAAAGAAAATAATTCTTACAGTTTAAATAACCTGTAATGGGTTGATAAACCGTAGAAAACGAATGAGAAAGTGTGACGAACTGTTTTTATTATTTGATAAAATTTAATTTTGATTTGTTGAGCTGCAATATGGAGGAACGGTGGAGTAATGGGTGGGGGCTCGGATTTATGAATCAGTAGAGCCGAGTTCAAATTCCAGTCGAGTTCATTGCATTGACTTACGTGCTAATACCATTGGAAAGGTATGAATCCATCTCCTTCCTCTAGCTATGGGTAAATAAGCAGGACTTCGTCTATAGGCTTGGATGACCTTCAGAGTTTTGGAGAAGGAAATTCTGAATTCTAACCCTGCCTTCCGCCTTTTTTGTTCCCTGCCTATTTAGGTAAAAGCTAGAAATTAACTTAAAAAAATAAAAAACACTCGAAGAAACGAACTGGTGCCATTAATTCGTGACTTCTTCAGGTTCAGTATATTGATTCCAACAAATATATGACCTCTCTGATTTCAGACCATTCATCCACAGGTGAATCACCCACGGTACTTTAGACGACAATAAGCTAATACTTTTCTTGATTTTTTTTTTTTTTTTTTTTACTTTCTAACTTTTGTGTTAACAGGTTCTACGTATGTTTTCATAATTCTTTTTGGCGAAAACCTGCGTTCCTGTGAGGTCAAGGGTAAAGAATATCCATTGGGACGTTCATTCTCTTACATGAAAGGTTGTTTTGAATATTTTTGCAAATGTCACTCGGACGGATCATGGGAATGTCCAGCCGACTTAGCCAAAGACAGATGCATGCCAAGACAACAACGAATCATCAATGAAAAAGGTAAGCCTATTATCCAGTATGACTTCTGATCTTAATTAACTAAGGTTTTTAACATCTACATATTTGGTCTTGTTGAATTAAAATGCTCTATTGTAAATATCCCGTTCAGTACCACAGATTTGCTTGTCAATTGCTTAATGTTAACCATTTGAACCTGTCCTCTAAGACTGCGGTACCTAAGAACTGATAACATTTTTCTATATAGTGGAATCCAAATCATTTGCCCATTTCTTAGTCTATGAATAGTGTCTGTTTGATATACCTATTTTTGTGTCTGTTTGATATACCTATTTTTGTATCTGTTTGATATACCTATTTTTGTATTCTTACTGGGCCAGTTTGCTACATTCCCTTATTAAGTTGTTTGTCTTTTTACGTCATTCTCGTCCCATCTAATCTTTTCTAGGTTCTTTTCAACGTTTTGGTGTAGTTTTTCGTGATATACTTTCTGGGCTGCAGATGGAACCAAAGTACCAGCTAGCTGTCCTTTGAGGTGGCATATTTTCATCATAAATAGAGAACTGTTCGGAATATCAGAGCAGTCCCAAGAAGTCTTCTCAAAGTGTCCAATTTTGAAATTAACACTAATATTTTTCCATCCAAATCAGAAGTTCAGCACTTATGATCCCAGAGCATCAACAAAAATCTCTTCCCTTACAGCAATTTGTACATTTCTAAGTGTTTCCTTGCTAGTCTTCTTGTCTGTTAGATACTCTATCGTTTGCGGGGTATGCAGTGTCTCTGATAATGCATGTACTTCCTTCTTTATCTACCACCACAAAGTTTGGCTTTCTGTCCAATACTTCATTGTCACATGAGATACATCCCCAAACTTTTGCATTTGTCCTTTTTAATGATACCTTCAAAAGTTTATCTATGCCATGTGTCTCTCCTCTCCAATCCCTATTTGCCGTGTAATTATTATTATTATTATTGCTAATATTATTATTATTATATGTTATTTTCATTGTATTCAGGGTAAAACTTCCCTGTATCCTTTTCTATAAATATTTTCATTGTAATTATTCTGATGTACTTTTGTCTATGGTATCTAGACTTTATGAATTTAAGCGCAGCACTAGATTGGCAGTCAGGTCTCATTATTTTATAGTTGAAATGGCAAGATGGAACAGTAAGTTCTGTGCCAACAATTTATCCTCTTGCACTTTTTTCTTTCGGAACAATCTTACGATCCGCCATACCATATCTACGACCTCAAATCATCCACCTCACCACCCACACCTCGTATTGGTAATGAGGAAGTTTCATTCAGAATGTTTCTTCTCCCAAAATGTTAGTTTCTGGAACAGATTCGCGAGAGGCTCCTACCACAACCATCACAACTTTAACAATCGATATATATTCGATATATATATATATATATATATATATATATATATATATATATATATATCCGATATATACCCGATATATACCCGATGTATACTCATAATATGCATTTACCCCCATCCCACAATGTCATTCGGCAACGCTCTATCTTGAGTAGCGCTTAGGCCTTGGGCCATGCATTTAGCGAACTAAAATAAAGAAAATATTTCTATTTTACTTGTTAATAAAAAGAATTAAGTAGTTCTCATTTGATATTGCAGTTCACTGGGAGGGCATCGTTGCATCGATCGGTTCGAAATTAAACAAATGCGAGGCAAGAGGTCGTGAATATTCACTCGGACGTTCATTCACGTTCGCTGACGGATGTTACCGATTCAATTGTGAATGTCATTCGGATGGTTCCTGGGATTGTCCATCGAATCGTACAGAATTCAGATGCCCACTTTCGCCGGATAAAGACAGAAACTTAAGTAAGTGACATTAAATTTTCACGTTTCAACACGGTTTGATGTTTCCTTTGTGAAAATGGGACAGACTGAAAAAAGAAATAATGTTTCGCAATTCATTTTGTACGTTTCATTTCTATTAATATTTAACAGATATGTTTTACAGCCTTTTATTCATATTTGTGCATACATGTACATATATACACGCCCATATATACTTGTGCATATATACGTGTACACACACAAACGCATATACATATCATAGAGGCTTTATCTCTCTCTCTCTCTTTCTCTCTCTCTCTCTCTCTATCTATCTATATATATATCTATATATACCTGTATACACATATTCAAACCTACCTCCATTTATATATACCTGCACCTACTTTAGAATGTAAATGTGCCTTCTCATATACACCAGTGCATATACAGTGTAACCCGGATATAAGAGACCCAGATATAAGAGAAACCCGGATATAAGAGAGATTTTCTCTGGTCCCAAATTAGAGCCTGTGTTAATGTATATATAATAGACCAAACCCGAATATAAGAGAAACCCGGATATAAGAGAAACCCGGATATAAGAGACTTCTTCTCCTGTCCCGACAACTCTATTATATCCGGGTTACACTGTACATACAAACTCACACATACCATACTCACAACTATATATATATATATATATATATATATAAAAAGCGTTTTTTTTATAATTTGTGGGGTGCTCTGTTTTTTTTTATATTATAGGTCGCATTGGGATGCCAGGTTTGTTTACTTGCATATACATGTACACACACATATACACACATGTATATATACATATACATATACGCAAGCATTCATATGCACACATATATACATATTAGAACAGTCGGTATCTAAAGATTTTTACATCAGCCGAGTGCAAGTAGGTCCGTGTCCTTCTCTCCACCAACTCGTGCACCGTATTGTGCAGTTATTGTCTTTGAGATGATCGGTGAAATAACGTATGATCCGGTCGTAGATTCACAAGTAAAAACTACGAGATCAGCGCACTTTCATTGTATTTCCTTCTCAGTAAATTCTGTTCGCGCCGGAAGACGCTAAAGAGAGCATGCGTTTCCTCCGACGAAATGCGACTTTGCTAAAAAATTTTGCAATCTGTCTCATCTTTACACACGCACGCCTATATATATATATATATATATATATATATATATATATATATATATATGGTTAAGTGACTGATAGATTGTACAAACTACTAAGTGACGAATTCCGTTCCGAGGAGGATATTCGTCAGATTCCGTTTCGGAAACTTTTTTCCAATTTGTCATAGGCTTATCCACTATTAGCGTAATACATTGGAATCGTAATCACGATCCAATTCATCAGACCTACAAATTCAAAAATGTTTGAATTTGTAGGTCTGATGAATTGGATCGTGATTACGATTCCAATATAATAAATTATAACCATGGGATATTAGTGTTTGAGCCTTTTATCATATTTTTATCCATTCCTTGACATTGAGTTCTACCTGAATTGTATCATTTTGGGAATTTATATTTATATTTATATATATATATATATATATATATATATATATATATATTGACTACTAATATTATATATATATATATATATATATATATATACTAAAAGAATATTATATGACAGCAGTAACAAACTCAGAGTTTCATGCGGTAGCACAATCGTCAGGCGTATAAAATATGAAAACGCCGTATATATTAAGTAGTGGTCGCTATCTGCTATCCCGGATGTATTTTTTTAAGTAAATAATTATTCCTCTGACTCTATTTCTGAGATAAGGTATTGTAAGTATTTATGCTATTTACATTGTTCGGACTGTTATCCTCATATTCTTTGTCGACGTTTCGGCCGTTGAACCCTGCGGCCTTCTTCAAATGATATACGTTGGAATTTCAAACCGAACCCTTTATTTAGGGTAGATTGTTCTAGTTCCACGTACCACGCCTTTTCTGAATATGTCAGTTTCAGTTCATTCTTTTTAGTAATTCTACTGTCCATCTTTTTGTTCACCTCTGCTGTTGCCAGGTATTGAACTCACAGCTCTTTGGTTCAAGTCACGGGATTATTTCAATCAATGTTTTTATCCAATAATATTTATCCATAGTTATGAGGAGACTGATAAGTGATGTTGGTCAATTAATTTTATGATAGATAGATAGA